TTCCAGCAGCAGTGGATTATGGCGTTGTTCTCCATTGGGGTGACCTCTCCCAACCTCTCCTGCTGCCCCCAAGGCAGGTGCTGGAACCACCACCGGAAGCCCAGATGCTGTTTAGCCTCCTCCTCCTTGGAGGGAATATGCTTCTGAGTCTTCTCCACTTGGAACTTTCTGCTGCCAGTCTGCACATGCCCACAAGGCCTGTCACACCACTGTGGTCTTCTGTTGCCAGGCCACACACACCCTCGGGACCACTCCCTTCAGATGACCCTAGGCCCACCACCTTGGTCCTCCGTTTCGGGTCCAGTTGAGGTGAGGTTACTGTGTGGTAGGGGATGCCCAAGAAAGGGTTAAGTTGCCAGAAGCAGAGTCCCGCCCTTGGGTTTGCTCAGCCAATCAGAGTCTGTCCTGATGAGGTAAAGCTTCTATCCTGGGTAGCATTGGTTGAGTTGACCGGCCCCATCTCCTGCTGGAGAAAGCCGTAAGGGTGGAGTTTCTGTGGAACCAGACAGAACTGGAATTAGCTCGCTGTCTACTCAGGCTGGGGGGCTGCCTGACTCCAGGACCTGCCTCTGCTTCTTCTGAAGGCACTCACACAGACCCTGGCATCTCTGGTCCCCGACTCTAGCTGCCCCAGTGGAGATGACAAGGTGGCACGCACCTCGGCATCATGTCTGCAAGAAGTCCTACAGCCAGAGCAGACCAAGAGGCCTCAGTTTCCCGCCTGGGCCCTGGAATACCACAGGTGGCTACCAAGAAGTGACATGGAGCAGCGGCCACATGTGCTCAGAACAGCAACAGCTGCAATGAACAGGGCCACCAGATGAATCTTCCTATGTAGATATCACTTTAAAATCATGACAGTAATAATCATCGCAGCTAGTTCACAGAGTTCTTGCACCCCACTCTGCCAAGCACATTGTGAGTTTAATCCTCACAGGGACACTGTTAACCCATCTACTTTACTGATGAAAAAAGTGGGTCTCAGGGAGGCTAGGTGGCTTGCCTGAGGTCACATCACGTATTATGTTATCTTGAACTATCTGTTGCTATATCTGTCTCCTGCTACTAGACTGTAAGCTCCTGAGGAAAGAGTGTGACAGATTGCTCTGTGCATTGGCCCCACGGAGCCCTGGGCAAACGGGGCCAGGACAGGCTGCACTGCACTACCCCCTTCTCATCCTGAGGGCTCGGTGGAAAGCTCTTCTCAGAAGGTTTCCCTGAGCCCAACCCAGCACCATGCACATGAGCAGTGCTCAGCAGGAGATTTAAGCCCAACCCAGCACCATGCACATGAGCAGTGATCAGCAGAAGATTCATGGCATGGACGATGCATAGACAGCCAGCACACTACTGGACCACTCTTAGGATCCCCAGGCATGGCCTTAACGCTTGGATCACCCCTCCGGTGCCCTGGTCACCTCTCTTCAATTAGAAGGAGCATTACATAAGGGTCAAGGACCAGGTCTCATTCATCTCTATGACCCCAAAGGACTTAAGTGAGTGTAGGGCACAGAGACTGCATTAATTATTTTGCTTGAATAAAAATCATCTATAACTACCTCTCCCTACTAGCTGAGAACCTCAACAGCTGCAGGTGGGACCAGCTCTGAGTTTTGCTAGATCAGAAGCCTCACAGCAGTCCCCAAGCAGGGAGTTCAGTCCAAGGTATCACAGGCAGAAGAAGAAAGGTAGATGCCCTCCAGGAACAGGTAATGAAGCAAGAGATGCGGCAGAGTTCTGAAGAGGAAAGAGCGGGTGATGAACAGGAGCAGGAAGCTGAGACAGGTGAGGAACTGGTTCATTCATTTCTACAGGAAGAGGAGAGAACCTCCAGGCCTACCCAGAGCAGCCCCTACCTGCCGTGGTCAGCCGAGAGTGAGCAGGAGAAGGGTGACAGAGCCCCAGAGACGGGATGCTGAACAGCTGCTACCTGACCCAGTGTGTCCATCCCGCCCCAGCTGGCACCCCACACTGCAAGCCACAGGCCACAGAAAGCCTGGACCTGCCTCTCCCCATCCCCAAGAGGAAAACAGACCTGGCCCCTAAAGGCAGCAGATTTCACAGGAAGTCAAGTTATGCAGAAATCTTCAGGGTATAGTGCCCTCATGGAGACTGGCACCCCAGGCCTTCAGCTTTCCAGAAAATCACAAAGCTTGAAGAGACAGAAAGAGCCACCAGGCCAGTGCCCAGATGGGATTATTGAGGCCACAGCAGGAAACAGTTGCCAAAGGTCACACAGCAGGTGGTGACACACCTCCCTCTCTATTGTTCTTTATGTCCCCCTCCCTCTGATTCCCTCAGTCCTTTCCCAACAAGCATCTATTTCATTTTCAGGGCAAATGGCACTTATGTTTGGTGAAATGGGGAAGAGTTTTACATTCCTTAAGATGTTTAAAGAATCTCCCAGTTCAAGGTGTCAGCAGACACTGTTGAAAGGAGCAGGGGACAGGGGTTGAGAAAGGGCAGCATGAGTGTCCGGAGAGTTGCCTTAGGACGCCCTTTTTCCCAGAGAGGCATTTGAATGGCAGGGGGGTGGTCTTAGGCAGTATTTTCTTTGGTTCAGCAGAAGGTAGAACATTCACAGAAAGGACACAGAAAAGGCATTCTCAGTCAGAACTCAGAACAAAGTGGTCAAGCAGGACCCTTTATGCCTGAAAAGCAAGAAGCTGGTTCCGAGCTCTGCTTGGCCTTCCCTGTCCTCCTCTGGAGGACAGTGACCTTCCTTAGTGGAAAGTCTGTGGCCCAGCGCTCAGGAAGGTCACCCTGAGGCAGCCAGGTTCTGACAGAGCTGAGCACCGGCTGTTGGACAGTCACCTGGGCCCAGTCACTGAGGTCGCTAAGGCAATACTGAAGCCGCATAGGGCTAGAGAGAATCGTATATACCAGAACTCCTCTCAGGAAGCATTCTGCAGGTGACTAGAAGGAATAAGCTACTAAGACTCTGCATGTGTGTGGTGGAGGTGGTGATGGGGAAGGTTAAGCCATGAGTCCCCCAGGGCCTGCCTATCAAAAGACAGCTACATTAAAGGTCTTCTTGGGAAGGGAGGCCAAGTGGGGTGTGCCAGTCTGTTGTAAGGCCAGGTTCTCAAGTCCAGGAGGCAATTCTGAGGCTGTCCCAGCACTCAGGTTCCCTTCTTCACCCTTCTGCCCAGCACACAGCTTCCCCACCGAACACACATCTGAAGAATTCTGGTTTGAAGAGATGTCTAAACTGTTGCCTGTCCAGTGTTGCCCATACATCTTGATGTGGCCCTGAAGCCAAGCCCCAACCCCCGGGCCCTTCCAGAGTCGGCAAGCCAAGCCCACAGCCTTGCAGGGACCAGAGCCTGCTGCCAACAGAGCCTGCTTTCAGTTGTTCACTGTCCTCCCAAGCCAGAAGATGGAAAGACTCTCCAAGACATTAGAAGGCTGTTGCCAACACGTTCCAGAGCCGCAAACTGACACTGAGCAAACATAATTCTTTCCCCCAGAAGAAGAGGAACGGAACCCAAAGAAAAGAAAGCTGAGGACACGAATTCTGCCATTCGGTGTCCCCACGGCTGCCCTAATGAAGAGGAAGTGACCTGGATTCTAACTGTGACCAACCCAGGATCCACGGGGGAAGGCAGCCTATAGGCACAGTGATGGGTCTCTGCTCAGTAGAAAAACCTGACAGTGGGAACCAGCCAATGCGGCAACTAGCCACCTGGGGCTGTGGCTAGGGCAATGACTCCCCACAGTTATGGTTGAGTGAGCACCTACTGCATAACAGGCACTGTGCTATGAAGTATATATGCACCCTCTTATTTAATTCTCAACAACCCTTTGAGGGAAGGACTGTTGTCCCAGGTTACTGATAGAAATATCAAAGCACAGAGCAATAGAGTGACTTGCCCAAGGTCACACTGCCAGTTAGCAACAAAGTAATAACTCAGAAGTCCATCCTCTTCCTATTGTCTTACCTCATCAAAGTTATTCTTGCCTCTGGCTAGTGTCCAACAAGATAACTTTCACATCTAAGAGATGTAATGCTCAGATTCCTGCTCCCTCTGGGAATAGCTGGGGGCTGCTGTCCACCACTGGCCCTCAGGAGAGGCTGCCAATCACTTCTTCCCCACCTCTTGCCTCAGCAGGCCTGTCCCCCACCACCCCCTCCACAGGTCTGCTGCCATGGCACAGGGGGTCTGAACACCCAGGAAGAAGCAACAGGGCCAGCGAGTTTACAGGCTGCAGCTCCCTTTCCTCTGCCCTCTTCCTCAGATCCAGCAGAGCAATCACCTTAGCAACTTTTGCTGCCAACCATACCAGATCCCAAAATGACCAGCAATTTTAGCAAGGGGAGGGACCCAAATGACTCACAAAAGTGTGAAACTATAACTGTGCCTATGGCTGGCATCAGGGTGTAGAAGGGGGAGGCTGTGGTCCAGCTCCTATCCTGTTTTCCCTCCCCAGGCATTGGATGGGCTAAGCAGTGCCAGGTCCAGATCAGCCTCCACTGGAATCTCCAACCTTCCCTGATGTTCCAGCCAGCCAGTCCCCAGGCCCTAGCAGCCTGCACTTGGCTCCGCTGCTATAGGCCTGCGTGGACCTAAGCATACAACAGCTTCTGCCACAAACATCCCCTCAATTACATCTGCCTTGGGCCAGTGTTGAACACCAATTCGGTGCCCCTGGGCACAGACTACCTAATGGCAGAGGGGAGTGCATGCCAGGCAACAGCAAGGAGGCCAGCCCAAATTAAACCTCGCCATGGGCAAACCGAAGAACAGAGCCGAGAATTGATGGGTCATGCTCAATTTGGCCGTCGCTCTACCCAAGCAATGTCAAACCCACTCAACAGACCCAGTGAAACGCCAAAGAGGAGAAACATTCGAACACAGGCCCCCCTTGCCAAGAGCTCATTGCCCAGAGCCAAGTTCTAAGTTCGCATTGGCCCCAAGCTCACTGTGGAGGCTCAAGGGTCCAGGCTGGTTGAGGGGAAGCAAGGCAGCCAGGGCCACAGCCGCTGGCAAAGCCCTTACCTTGCTCTCCGGGGGCGATGCTGCCAGCTGTTGCTGCTTGGCGATGTTCTCCGACAGGCACCAGCACACTCTCTTCTTCTGCTCCTGCGAGTGCGCTTCCAAAGTGAATAAGCACTCTGCCTTCTGACGTCAGGGAAAATAGAGAAAGGGATGGTCAGGGCTGCTCCCTGGTTCAGGGGGCTCCCAGGCCCAAGCCCATCCCTGGGCTCCAGAGGGCGAGGCTGCAGCAGGGAGGGGAGTGTCCACCAAAAGCCACAAATGCACACTAATCCCCGGTGACATCAAGGCAGCCAGAGGAGCAGGGAAGCGGGTTCAAGGCCCAGCTGGCTAGCTGTGGGCCCACAGGCTGGGGGAAGGGAAGGAGACAGGGGCTCCCAACACAGTGGAGGTCTGTGGAGAACTGTAGGACAGAGACAGTGAGGTCACCCCTGGGGGCAGGCAGCACAAGGCAGCAGCTGGGGGAGCATGTGGGGAACCCAGGGGGCCAAAGCCTCAGGCTGATGCTCCATGGAGCCAGGAACCCTCTCCACCGCCCTGGCTCACATAACCTGTCTTCCTCACAGCACACTCATCAGATCACAAGGCCAAGGCTAGACAGATGGTTGAATGGACATACCAACAGCATCCAGACAGCAACTCGGGTCCCTTTGGAAAGTCTTTGATGGGCAGCATCATGTGGCCCTCTGCAGCCCCACTGCCTGCCTGATCTGGGTCTTCTCAGTGACACTTTGGCTCAGTTGAGGGCAGCAACAGTTTTAGCACGGCTGCCATTTAAATCCGTTATTTAACCTTATGAAGCTACAGTCTCCTCTCCCCAGCTAAGCTATAGACTCCCTCTAGGAAGACCTTTTTCCTCTGGGCCTAGTACAATTCTTGGCAGGTAATGGTTTTAGCCTAGTGCATAGCAACTAATGACCTGGACCTAGTACAGTGCTTGGCAAATAATGGCCTTTGTAAGCTCTGGCTGCCTGGAGGACCTTCCGGGATGAGGTCAAATCCAGGTCAGCTTAGGCACAAGCACCAGGGAGCTTTGGGGACCCAACGAGTCACCCCCAAAGCCATCAGACCATGCTGGGGTGGAGTGGGGACGGTGCCACAAGCCCAGGGTTACCAACCCATCACCGGGTGTGAGGATCAGCGGATTAGAAGCCCTTTCGTACTCCACTGGAATTTAATTATAATCCCGCAGGGCTGCGGTCAGATGAATGCAGTCAGGGAGCTAAGAGCATGAGCTGGGTGACTTGGAACAGAGAAAAAGCCAGTGTTTCTATTCAGTACTTCCTGGTTTTACAATTGGACAGGCCTGATTTGAATTCCAGCTTTGCCACTTCTCAGCTGTCAACCTCAGGAAAGTCACAAGCTATCTGTCAAATGAAGAGGACAGTGATGTCACCAAACTCTCAGAGCCACTGGGAGGGCAAGTAGTGAGGACAACCTCAGGCCTCGACAAACAGGAGCTGTTGTTATTATCCAGGAATTGGTTTGTTTAGTAAGTATTTACCGAGCATCTGCTATGTGTCAGGGACTGTTCTAGGTACTAGAGATGAAGAGGTAAATGCGACAGACTAAGCCCCTGCTCTCAGGTTCAGGGCAGAGACAATAAACAAGTAAATAGATAGTATATAGTCCTTCACACCTGGGGAGCTCTACTTTTATAGATTCAACCACTGGCAGATGGAAAATATTTGAAAAAAATAATTTTCATCTGTACTAAATATATAGATTTTTCCTGACATTGTACTCTAAGTAATATAGTATAACATGATTTTTTACATAGCATTTATACTGTATTAAGTATTACAGGTAATCTAGAGGTGATTTAAAGTACTCAGGAGAACATACATAGATTATATGCAAATACTGTGCCATTTTATATCAGGAACTTGAGCACCCTCGGATTTTGGTGTCTGGAGCAGGGTGTAGTGTGTGTGTGTGGGGGGGGTGCCTCGAACCAATCCCCTGCAGTTACTGAAGGATAACTGTAATTACAAATTGTGAAAATGTCACAAAAGTCATAAAGGGAGAGGTCACAATGAAACTAGGTGATCAGAAAAGGCATCTTGGAGGGGTGACACTCGAGTTTAGACCTAACTGGTAAGAAGGTGCCAACAAGGAAAGTGCTTAGGAGAAGTTCCAGGAACAGCAAAATGCAGGTCCTGAGCTGGGAAGTGTTTTCGGCATCATCTAATAGCATCTAGGGACTTTTTCTGTCTTGCCTTTCAACCCAGGAATTCCCTTGGGATGCTACCCTTCAGAGAGAGCCACCTCCCATACTAAGTGTCCCCAGGGTGCCAGTCATTCTTCTCCTGCCTAAAAGTGCTCAGAAGCAGATCCTCCTAAAAGCACTGGGGAAGAGGGTAGAAAACCCCGCCTGCTGGCTTCAGGGAACTGGATGGTCTGTTGAGGCACTCCTGGGGCTTCCACTCAGCAACAGGTTCCTTCTGCTTCCCAGAACCCTCCAGCCCACAGCAGAGAAAGGCTGTGCCCAGCAGATGACCCCAACATTCCCCAGAGAGAAGCCTGGTGGGACAGATGCTGACCAGAGGGCCCTTTGCTCACTGTCTCCTTGTGTTCCCCTGCAAAGGGAGAGGTGAGGTAGGAACTGGTCCCTTCCAGCGTGGAAAGTCCATCACTCCACAGAGCTGGCTGTGGTCTGAGCCTCCCGGGCCTGGCTTTACCCAGTCATGTGAGTTTTAGCAATTCCTTAATCTCCCTGAGCCTCGATGTCCTGTTCTGAAACAGGAATTTCACCTTACTAATTATTCCTTTTCTCTAATTACCAATTTTAAAAAGAATTTTCCCATCCGTGATCGCATTTTGATCTTGGTAATTCAATGAAGTGGGGGGCATGGATTGTCACTCTCATTTGATGGAAGGGAATAACCAAGGCTGAGAATAGCAAGGCTCTCCCTGAGCCTCATCACCAATGAGGGGCAGAGGGAAAGCGCGAAGGCTTAGAGAACCACCTGCTAGGATTTAATCTTTGAAACCTGGGGAGGCCTCCTCACCACCTGGCAAGGATACTATACTCTTAGCTGGCAGGAATGTTGTTCTTTGCATTCTGGCCAGGAGTCAAGCAGGGTGCAACACCTTCAGGAGAAACTCTGTAGGCTAGTGGGTCTCAGAGCAGCTACAGAGTTCACTGGCAGCTTTTTATACAACTGTCCACTGCTCTAAGCTCCAAGATGGTGGTCCTCTCCCTACAAAAGTACAAGAAAGCTCCCCCGGCTGGGAGGCCTCTCACAGCAAGATAGCCCTCTCCCCTCAATACGAGACAGCCCCCTCAAACCCCATGCCCCACACAGTGCTAATTACTTTACCAGTGGTGCCTTGATATTCTTTCCAAAAAAACTTTGCAAGGTACCAGCTGTGATCATCCCCATTTTACTGACACCACAAGAACCACTCTCCCCTCCCCTGCCCTGTGAGAATCTCTCCTGGAAAACTGTATTTCTCTACCTGGGATGGTGATCATATTGCCTGTCTCAACAAAAGAGTGTAGGGCTGGGTCTCTAGCTCTGAGAGCTTGAGGCTGAATGCCTCTATAATGTTAGAGGACCCAGAAGGTCTCCAAGGCATCAAGGACATTCGTGGCAAGGGCTGGCTGGCTTAGATGGGCACACATTTTTGGGAGGCCTAAGCTTTGGAAACCAGCCTGGCTAAGAGAGAGAGCACTAAGTCATCTCTCCCCAGGGAGGATGAATTCCCACCTGCCTAAATCTGTCTAAACTGGGGGCCCTTGTTGCCTACCTAGCTGCTCCCACACATGAACCATCTCTTTTAATCCAAAGTGTGACCTGACTCAAAACTGATGTACACTGTACCCTCAATACTAGGCTCTGGGGTCAAGGCCATAAGCCTACCTAAAGGCATCCTCATGTAACTCACTCATTGCGGGGTGACCAGCCAAGCACAGATCTTTCAGATGCACAGGCCCTGATCCGGAAGTACTGGGCCCTGACCTCTGCATTTAAACACAGGCATCCTCAAATCCAACCAGACACTCAACTTTTCTTGGCCTTTTTAAAATCCCCATCTTGGCTGGGTGTGGTGGCTCAGCCTGTAATCCCAGCATTCTGGGAGGCTGAGGTGAGAGGATTGCCTGAGCTCAGGGGTTCAAGACCAGCTGGGGCAACTTGGTGAGACCATGTCTCTACAACAAATCAAAAAATTAGCTGGGCATGGTGGTACGCGCCTGTAGTTCCAGCTGCTTGGAAGGCTGAGGCGGAAGGATTGCCTAAGTCTAGCAGGTCCAGGTTGCTGTGGCCGAAAGCATGCCACTGTCCTCCAGCCTGGGCGAGAGTGAGACTCTGACTCAAAATAAATAAATAAACAAAATAAAATCCTCATCTGGCTTTACCTCCTCATTCCTGAATTGACTTTATCTTTGTAAACAACAAAACCTTTTCAGCTATAATTTCAGTTGGTTCGTCTGCCTTGATAAACATTCTCTCACTTAACTCAATTATCCTAATAACACTGTGACATAAGTAGGAAGGAAAGTCATAGCTTTTACCATTTTTCAGATGAGAAAACTAAGGTGCAGAGAGAGGTTAGGTCATCAACCCTAGGAGGTCTCGGGAGAGGAGAGAGTCACAGTTTATATCTTCTGCATCCTCCAGAGCCTGTGATCTTGCCACATTTGTATAATTGTATATGTACATCACAAAGAATGTGAGATATCCCTCTTACTTCCTTTTTAAAAGATCAATAAATCATTTGTGAGGTCTCTAATGGAGAGAAAATGAATATGAAAAGCCCTTCCCCTTGTTATGAAGCTGACAATAATAATAGCAACCATTTACTGAGCACTCATTGTGTGCCAGGCTCTGTGCAAAGTGCTTTGAGTGCAGTACCTTATTGAATCTCATTTAATCATTACAACAACTCTGCAAGGTAGGCCTCATTCAGAGATGTGTATGTGACTTGCCCCAGATCACTCAGAAAATGGCAGAGCCAAGATTCAAATCTAGGTTCTCCTAACTTGAAGGCCCAGACTCTTAAATTAACAGAGGCAGCATCAGATTCAGACAAGTGGTTTCTCTTCATTGCCTGACATGCCCGTGGTACCCAGAGAGGAAGCCCGGGGAAGAGAGTCAGAATTTGGAGAGGTTAGAGGTTAGAGAATGGTCCCCGACTAATGTGTCCATTGACCCAGCGCCCCCAGTGATCCAAAGTTATTTATGAGCTGCATCTGCCCCATGGATTTTCAGGTACTGAGGGACACCTGTCCAAGGGAATAGAGACCCAGAACCAAGGACTAGTTAGGACGACCCCATCCAGGACATTGCAGCTGGGGAACAATCAGAGCTGTGACCACTCAGGCAACTGGGGCTTTCTCAATGCAGTGTGAAAAAAAACCTCTCCAAATTCTGACTCTCTTCCCCGGGCTTCCTCTCTGGGTACCACGGGCATGTCAGGCAATGAAGAGAAACCACTTGTCTGAAGTTCCAACTAAGGCCAGGCATGGTGGCTCATGCTGTAATCTCAGCATTTTGGGAGGCCAAGGTGCGAGGATCACTTGAGCCCAGTAGTTTGAGACCAGTCTAGATAATATAGTGAGACCTCAACTCTACAAAATCAAAAATTAGTTGGGCGTGGTGGCATGTACCTATAGTCCTAGCTACTCAGAGGACTGAGGTGGGAGGATTGCCTGAGCCAAGCAGTTTGAAGTTGAGGTGAGCTGTAATTGTATCACGCATTCCAGTCTGTATAAGATTGAGACCCCAACTCATAAAAAAAAAAAAAGAAGTTCCAACTAAGATGTGAGTTTCAAGGTCTCCTTGGGTTCCAAAACCACCCATGTCAAGAATGTCCCAAGTTACAGAGGGAGCAGGCATCTTGTCTTCCCTGCATTACAGCTGTGCCGCTCATAAATAACAGCCCATTAAGAGAAGAGACAGGCTTCTAGCTGCCTGTGAGCTCAATCCCCCAGCCCCTCAGGGTCAGATCACCTGGCACTTTACTTAAATAAAAAGCCCCAAATCAATATCCTTTCATCACTTTTTGGAGGGCTAGGAGGTCACAGATCCCAGGAAACCAATGGAGCAGAAGTGCTTTTCTCTGGGAAATACAAACCCAGCCTAGCAGGAAGCTCTCTTGGCATTAAACATCCTGGAGCCTCCTTCAGGGACTGCCTGAGAGAATCAGAACCCAGGGAGGAGGAGCCCAGCCTAGCTCATGGCTTCTCTTGTCTGCACTCTGCCACCCAGCTCTGTAGAACTAAACACCCTCCAGTACTGAGGTGATTCCACCAGTTATTTCCTGTGCCCCAGAGAAGGTGTGGCTGATGGCTGGGGGCAGGGGGCATCTGATGCCCTCTTGGCCTTCAGGACTGCACTGCAGGCAACCCAGGTCCACAGCTTAGTTTCCACAAGGTCACCACCTCTTTGGAGCTCTGCTCTCTCCTGAAGCTAATTTCTCTTCGACTGTCTTCTCCCTCGGGGGTCTGTTCAAAGACCTTGCACCTCTTATCTTAGCCAGGAACTGTAGGAATTATGTTCAATCATAAATAGTGCACAAATTCCTTCTCAAAGGGGTGTATTCCTCTTGGCCAGTCAGAATAAACCATGCCCTACCTCCCAGAAGACAGATTCCCAAGACTGTTGAATGAGACAAACTTAAGTGGAGGCAGAGGGCAGGAACGGGGCTAATGAACCTTGCTTGGAACAGACATTGCCCTGTTCACATTAGCAGAGACACAAGGTTGGGAATAGAAAATTCACTCAAAATTGAAAAGAATGTATACAGCTCAATGACCCTCAACTTTCACCATTTTAAGTATCCCTTTGGTTAAACTCCTGGCGTAATGATATTTTATCTACGAAACCATCTCAGGCAATAAGTTGTTTGTCAGATTTTGCTCAGCAAAGGCATAGCACTGCCCATCTAAGTTTCTGATCAGACTGAGATAACCAGGAATATCAACCACACTAACTGGGTAGCATTCCAGCCCAAAACACAGACACTCAATGTTTTCTTTAGCCTGTATTATCTGGCCCAGGTAAAGATACAATTACCTTCAGACTTTTGAAACACTGACAAGACCCTGTAGTTGAGGTCGTGGGTGTAACTTCCTACAAAAAGTAGAAGAAAGAAGCAGGCACAGGAATCAAAGTAATCCCTAGAGGAAAGGCTGTTAATAAAGAGGGTGGTGCACAGCTGTCAGGCCATGCCCTCATGATTCCTTCAGGGGCTGGCTGTCAGAAGGCTTGAGCAGGCCACCTCAAGCATCTGTTCTACATGCTGTCCTGTCCACAGCTCCTTCACACAGAGGTAAAAGAGGCAGGGGCAGGGACTGCTAACCCCATTCTACAGAGCAAGAAACTGCCATCCTGGACTCGCCCAGAACCACTGCATGAGCAGGTGTGGAGACTGGCATCAGAGCCCTGGCCTAGAACCCAGTCCAACATTTCCCCTTAAAGCACCAAATGCAGAGGAAAGGACTCACCTCTGCTAGATACAGCACGCAGAATTTCAGGTCTTCTGAAGAACCTTTGAGGGAACAAAAAAGTAATACTTGCATTAGAATTGGCTAGAGTCTCAGCAGTTTGTTTGAGCATGGCCAGCTATGTTGCCCAGAAGGCTGTACATGGTGCTTCCTGGAAAAAGAAGCAGGCATGGAGACTAGGAAGTCTCTAGAAGAAAGGCAGCTCAATAACTAGCTACAGTGATACACAGCTGTAAGACCCTTGCCTGCAGGTCAGCCTGGCGCAAGGAATGCCGAAATCTCATCCCCAGGAGAGGTAGGCACAAGTACCCTCTGGGCATCAAACAGCAGGGAGCTGTCATCCATCCCAGAGGCTGCCACCTTTTTCATGACCCCTGCAATGAGAGCCATGGAGTCAGCACACATCTGGGTTTTCCTTTAAACACTCCAACTGCCTTACCATTTTGAAAGTCAACAAGGAGCTATTTAGTTTCCCACCAAGGAATAGTGGAGCATGCAGGGGGATCCCCAATCGGAGGTGGGGTGGAGCCCAGAGATGGCTTCCAGGCCTGGGGCTTGACCCTTCTGTGTATTTTCCTAGGGCCCCCTCATCCCTGATCCAGAATCCCAATCAATCACAACCATCCATCAAGTCCTCTCCACCAGGGAGGCAGCTGGATGTGACTGTCACTGCTCCCTCCACCTCCAGCTGAGGAGCTGAGGCTGAAGGGCTACTCCCAGGGAAGATGATTTGCTCAGAATGCTTCAGAAGCAAGAGGATGGAGACTGAGCCCCCAGCTGCCAGGGAAAGCTTTTCGGAAGGAGAACCCTGTTGAATTTGAACTCAAGATGGAAAGAAAGGGCACTCCAAGGAGGAGGAACAGCATGGGCAAAGGTAGGGAGGTGGAGAAGCAGAAGTTGTGCTCAAAGAAGAGCGAGCACAGAGAAGAAGCACTGCCCTCCTCCAGGACACCAGCCCTGACCACCACGGCCTCTCCTCGGGACCTGGCAGGACTCCCCACTGGGGCACTCATCTGGGCACAGGCCCAGAATGGTTACTTCAAGCAATCGTCTGGGCACAGGCCTGGGATGGTTACCTCAAGCAACTCACCTCACGAGGCAGGCTGCCATTGTTGAGGGAAGCAACCACACAGCACATGTAACAGTGGTTACCTGACAGGCCACAGGACCTTAGAGTACCACAATGTTCCATGCCAACCACTGCTCCAAATGCTTCCCATGTGTAAATACAACCCTCACAGCAACCCTCTGAGGCAGGGCTTTTATCATCCCTGATTCACGTGAGGAAAACTGAGGCACAGATGGATGAAGTCACTTGCCCCAGGTAGTTATAGGGGGAGAACCAAGATTTAGACCCAGGCATCTTGGCCCCAGAGCCCACACTCCAACCCACTACACACTCCGCCTCACAAATGCCCACCACCCCTTCTGTCCTCTTAAGACACCAGGCCCAGTGCTGGGCTCAAACTAGAACCCTCAACACACACCTAAAGCAAATAAGTTGTCAAAAAAACCAGAATTTGTCACAAAGAGAAGGCAGCAAGGTAAAAATAGAGATTGTGGATCAAGCTGATTCCTAAGAAGAGCAGTGAGTGAGGGCCCTGGTGTGGGTGAAGGCCGGTCCCCTGAAACAAATATATCCCTAGGGCCAGGGCCTACCGGCTAGAGCCAGATACAATCAGCCCATAAGTAAGTAGGGGTTCACTTTGGACTTAGAGAGACTAAATCTTTCTACTTCTCCCCACCTTGAGATGGGTTGGGGAGGGAAGGAGCTCTGCCTAAGAAGGCCATCATGTTTAATAACATTGTAATTTCAAAGCTTTTGCTGGTTCCTTGTGTTGCTGAGGGTGGAGACAAGAAGAGGTGGTTTCTTTTGTTTAAAAGAACACACTGAGACATTTCCTTGACTTTCCAGAAGCAGACCCTAGTGCCAAGGGAGAACCAGAAAGATTCATGTAGGAAAATAACAGAAATTTCGGAGTTGGAAGCTGGCAGTGAGAAAAGAGAAGGTTCTAGAAGGGAGGGGAAAGCCCAGCAGATGAAAGCTTCAGGGAGATGGCAGGCCGAGGTTAGGGGAACACTCATTAAGACATATTCCCTGTGGCAGGGGATGGCTGATGCATTGCCTTGACAACTCTTCCCAGCTGTGACACCCCACCCCCTGCTCCGACCTCCCTGCATTACTGCAAACTTTCACTGAAATCTGCTCCACATCACAGCCTTGTGCTGGCAGCACTTTGAGAGAAGGATGGAATGGGGGCAGTGCTCAGCATGGCTCAGAGCCTCATAAAAGAACAACAAACTGAGGGAGCCAAGGGTGCCAGGGAGGAGTTGCAGCTGCAGAAGAGCAGGCTGCAAGGGGCTGCCCGCAGAGAGAAACCGCCACCCTTTCTGGAACATGAGAATGGAAGGCTAATGGAGAGGAGAGACACTGAGGCAGCACATATTTGGGTTTTCCTTTAAACAGCCCAACTGCCTCTGCCATTTTGAAATTCAACAAGGAGCCATTTGTTCCAGAGTAGGCCTCGCTTCCCACCAGGGAATGCATGAACCATGCAGGGGGGTCCCCAGTCATGGAGCCCAGAGATGGCCTCCTGGCCCAGGACTGACCTCTCTCTCCATAATTCTCCCAGAGTCCTCTTCTTGCCTGGTCTGAGATCCCAAACTCAACCATCCATCAAACCTCCACTCTCTGAGGCAAGCCAGGAGGAGTGTTGTCTCTATTCTTCAGACATAGAGACTGAGGTCCAGGGAGAGGAAACAACGTGAGCAAGGCGTATACAGTGAGTAAGTGGCAAAGCTGAGATCTGAACCCCAAATGGCCTGCCTGCAGAGCCTGTGTCCTGACCATGATGTCACACTTCTGCTTCTGGCATTTCGCCAAGCTATGAGCTCCAGCGGTGGCAACGTGTCCCTTCCACTGCTATCACTCCAGCCACCAGCATTGAGGTGGGCTCTGAGGACGTGCTCAGAAAATATGAACTAACTAAGAGTTCACTCCAGGTACTCCAGCAGCTGGGACCTAAGCAACTGAGTTTCCAAAACTGGGTACCTGGCTCCCCACGGTGGGTGGAGAGCCCAAGAGTCAGCTGAATATTTCTGAGCCACTTCTGAGAAGCCTGAGCAGGCCAGGAAGACACACTGTGGGCGTGATGCTGGCCGCCTGGGAGGCGGAAACACAAAGAGTAGCAAAGCCAGAGGGCGGCAGAGGCAGGAAGGGACCACAATGGGCCCCGGCTGACCGGAGATGTCTCAATTGTTAGCGCCAGCTCTCCGCCTGTTCCCACTACACTGCCATTCAGTCCTCTGAAGCTAGGGGTTGGGGGGAATGGAGTTGGACAGGAGGAGGGCAGACAGGATTTAAGTGGCCACCAGCGGGAGTCCTGGGGGAGGGGTACACCCCCAGTTTCACAACTGAGCCAGCATTCTAGTCTCCTTTTAGCAATTCATTCATTCACCCAACAAATGTTCATGGGGCACACACAATGTTCTGTGTCCCCCCAACAAGGCCCTGGGAGGATGCTTGGCTGGTGGAGTTAAGGACTCTTCAGACAAGTCACACAGGGAGCCCTTGGTCCCTAGGGTGGAGCTGATTCTCCCCTGCCTGGGGAAGCAGCCCTCGCCAGCCCCAGCCAGTTGGAATGGCTGTGTGTGTTCCCCGTTTGCCATCTTCTTTGCCTCACATTGAACTCTGCGTACATGTTGATTTGGCAGAGACAAACAAGAAACCTAGGAGTCATGCGCAATGTTTAATCAGAGATCATTCTGCCAACAGAGGCCCCAGCTGAGGCCCCAAACGCGTCTCTTAAAAGCCTCACTCTGGTCCTTGCTGCTGCAGTCGGTCTCTTGGGGCACAAGGGAGGCGGGCAGGAAACCGGGCGCCAGGACTCAGAACATTGGGTCCTGTGGTTCCAGCTTGGACTACAGGAGGAGGGGTCACTAGACTTCCGTGAACCTCTGGACCCACAAGCCTGTGTCGGGAGAGTGGGGGTGGCTGAGGGGAGGCGGGGACTCCATTGGTGCCTGGAAAGAAACCTAAGTATCGGATTGTGCACCTTGAGTGCTCAGTGCCACAGAGCTGTTTCCTTCCCTCTCAGCAGCTCTCAGCCTCTCTGGAGGTCTGCCCCAAACCCATGTGCCCAGCAAATCCAGGGCAGGCACACATGTGTATACACACACACACACACACACACACACACACACACACACACACACACCACTCTCCCACACCAACCCAATGGGCTCTAACGGCCATGGTCATCTCTCCCGAGAAGTGCCACCTTAACAAGTCACCCAGCACAGCAGTAGCAATACCACACCCAGGCCCCCAGATGCCCAGCTACTGACCTCATCTCTTCCACACCCCTTTTCCTCCTAGTCCCAACCTCAATCTCCACCCAAAGGTAGTCAGTTTGAATCCCCCTTCTTTTTCCTCCCACCTTCAGCAGGAAGTCGAGCAAACCGGGGACTAGGGCTCATGGCTCAGACTTGTCATGTGCACGACAGAGTAAGGGCTTATTATTGAGCACTGCCGCCTGCCCAGTGCTTCTCACATGTGACTGAATCCTAGGATGTCTGGGGGTGGAGAGGGGCAGGCAGAGAACAAGGAACTGTACTGTGAATGCATGTGTGAAGCCGGGCTCGGTGGCTCAGCCTGTAATCCTGCACCTTTGGGAGGCTGAGGTGAGTGGATTGCCTGAGCCCGCGGGTTCGAGACCCGCCTGGGCAACTTGGCGAGACCTCATCTCTACAATAAATCAAAAAATTAGCCGGGTGTGGTAGCGCGTGCCTGTAATTCCAGCTACTTGGAAGGCTGGGGCGGAAGGATCGCCGGAGCCCAGGTTGAGGCTGCGGTGGCTGGGAGTGGTCACTGCACTCCAGTCTGGGTGACCGAGTGAGACTCCAACTCAAAAAAAAAAAAAAAAGAATGCATGTGTGAATATGCATGGGCAGGGCGGAGGGACAGGGGAGAATGGGCTGGGTGTGAGGGAGCCAGGGAGGGGTATGTGGGAGGGAGCAGGGAAGCCCAGGGCAGAGTCCACAGGAGCTCCAAGAGGGCCCAGGGGAGCTCCCCTCCAGAAGGCCCAGGGGAGCTCCTGGAATGCCAGGCCTGAGCTGGAGTCTCTCAGAAAACTGCTCCTTCCCACTGCTCCTGGGTCAGGCTGAGCCACAGGAAGGGGAGGAGGCTGGCCCGAGGGAGGTGACTTACTTTCCCCTCCACGGGCAGGAGAAAGCCAGAGAGGGAGAAGTTGTGAGTGGCTTCCTGTGGGGAAGTGAGAGTGGAGGTTCTCACACTGGCTGGGTTTCCAAGGAGGAGGAATAGTCAGGGCACTGAGCACACAGGATGGGTTTGCAAATAGTCAGGAAGTTTTCCTGGAGCAAAACCCGCCAAAACAGAATTCTTTTGCCGGGTAATATTTTCCTCCCTGCCCCTGTCACCCACCCTCAAACAGGTCTGTTGTTGTTTTCACAATCTGGGAGAGGAAATCGAGCCCCTTTCAGCAGAGACCTCAGGCGCCAAACCAAACCGCCGACAGATACTCCCAGCTGGCTTCCCGTCCGCAAGTGGAGGAGGGCACGGTGGAAAGTTCGGGTTAGAAATTCCCTCCGTGCTCCTACATGCGCCTGTGCCCCAGCTGCTGGGGCTTAGGCTTGGACTGGGCCATGCAGCTGGGTGGAGTAGGAGCAGTGGCCTCTGTCCACGAATCTGCGGGGTGACAACGAGCATTTATTGGGCACCTGTTATGGGCCAGGCACTCAGCATGTATGACCTAATTTAAACTTCACGACAACTTTCTAAGATGCTATTTTTATCCCCATTTACACATGAGGAAACAGGCTCAAGGAGGTTGAGTAACTTGCCTAAGATTACACCGGCAGTAAGGAGCAGGGCCAGGATTTGAACACAGGCCTGTCTGAGTTCAAAGCTCTTCCCACCCTACTCCATAGTCTCCCTGGAAGGGATTTCTAGAACAGAAATCTCCCTGGAAAGCTCAGAGTACAGGAGAGGGCTTGCCAGCCTACAAAGAATGCCAGTGACTGAGAGCCTATCAGCCCAGGGATAGAGCCCGACAGCACACACTCAAATGACCCACAGAGAGCTGGCAGCCAGATCCCAAAGGAGTACCCAAATCAGGCACCTATGCAGTCCAGAGCAGTGGGACTGGGGCAAGTGGGGAGGGGCTCTGGGCACCTGGGACCTGTGCTTACCTTCCTGCAGCTTCACACTCTGGAGGTAGAGAGGGTTCCTCAGGACGTCGCAGCGGCCAGGCTCATCCTCCTTGGTGAAGAGCAGCAGGTCTGAGTAGGCAAACAGTGTCACCTGCATCAAGAAAGAGCAAACAGAACTAGCTGCCCTGCTGTCCCCAGGAGCTCAGGAGCCACAATCTTCCGTGAAGGTCCGGGTGACACATTCTCATCATCTCAGGCAGAACCCGGAACAAGCCTCAGTGTGGCCACAGCCAAGGGCAGACCTGACCTGCAGTCATTGTCACCCTCCAGTTTTCTATACTTTCACTCCTTGAATTAGCAAAAACAAACAGAAGAGAAAAATAGCTCTCTCCCTCTGTGGCAGATGGTCTCTGCAAGCCTCTCTACAACCTGATGCCCCCCATGCCCACCTCTCCGATCAAATGCCCCTAGAGTCTCCAGCCCAGGGCCCTTGACTTGAAGCCACCCTGAAGCTCTAAGATCTTCCATATTTGCTTTTATTCTACTGTAAGTGTCTGACTGAAAGAGCATTAGATTTGGAGTCAGAAACCAGGAGGCTCCTATATCAGCTCTGCCACTAGCCATAAAAAAAGAAAAAAAAAGTTAAGTTCCTTTAACGCCCTCAATTTTCACATCAGTCCAAACAGGAAGAAGAGCTCCTGCCTGGCTCCCTCACAGGCTTCTTCACAGGCTCTCTGTAGACTGGGTGAAGCAAGCGCCATGCAATGTGAGTTAATATTACCAAATTCCTTGCAGATAATTTTAACTGCATTAATGAGGAATCCGCTCAAGAAAATGCCAGTTACTTACGCTCCAATACAGATATGTACATAACTTTTATCTCTTTTGTGCACTAGCTGCTCCAAAAATAAAGGCGAAAGATATTTTTAGACATTACAGGTAAACCAGCAGGCATGCCCAGCATATTTTTATGTTAAAAAAAAAAATCCCACTTGATCCTCTAATGCCACTAAAGATTACACTGCTCTTTGTTTTGTAAATCCTGCAATGGCCTTTAGTCAAAAGCAATAAAATCCAATTTTAGACTCTCCAAAGAAAACAAAATATTATGAATTATGTGAACTTCCCTTCGAGGTGTCAAAACCTGACACCTCATCTCTTCTGAAGTGAGAAGAACCAGCCATAATGTCTTGGCATGCACTGAGGGGCACAGAGAGTGAGTGTCGGATTGCTGGTAAAGTTTAAAAAGCCAACAGGTTGACATTTAGCTACCAAACTGGTAAAGATGACCCCACAACTCCCTTCTAAGATTCTCTCCCACAGAAATACTTACAAGGATATAGAAATATGAACATGCAAAGATGTCCTCAACAACATTTATATAATTTACAAAAAGAAAATAATACAAACACCCATTAAGAGAGGATAAATTTTAAAATGATACTACCTTCATATGGCAGAATTGTATGCAACTATTAAACATGTAAAGTGGAGCAATGTGGACAGAAATGGAAATCTGTCCATTTTTGATCAAAATAGTGCAATGTGCAAAAATACCTGGCATGTAATCTAATTTTATCAAGCAAAACTATAAATCTCTCCATATTTATTCATTTTAAGGTGTCTAAGATACTCACCGCACCCCTCACTCTGGGGAGTGGGATTTTACTTTATATATTTTGGGTTAATTTGCATTATTTGTTAATTAGACTGTTAGTTTTATCATTTAAAGATATATAATATTTCAAAGGACCATTTGGCTTCTTGAGTGTAGCATAGAGAGGTTTGAGGAAACCTGGGGCCACAGAGACAACAGGGGGATGTCTTTGAGCAGGAGCCCTTAGGGGGTCTGGCTTCTCCAATGGGACCACAAACACAAAGGCTCCAGAACCCTGGGCTAGAAGGGGTCATGGTGGTGACCCTATCCAACCACAACTCTATCTCAATACAGTGTAAGCGACGCCTCTCTTAGTTGAAAACTTATTTTCTGCTCAGTGCTTATAAATAACCATTCTACTTATAAGTAACATCACTGCCCTCATTTACATTTGAGGCGCCTAGTGTTCAGAGAGGTTAAGTGACCTGTGCATGGCCACACAGCCAGGAACCATTACCCAGGTCTGGTTGACCCTAAAGCTCTCACGATACAGAGAGATAGCAATAAGCCCACAACTGCCCTGTTCCCAAATGTGAAAGAATCCAAGGCAGGACGAAAACAGAGGTGCAAAGGAGACAAAACAATAAAGTTAAGGGAAGGGAAGAAATTGATCCCAGAGTTCAGAAGAATTTGAGAAGTTGGCTGTCTGAGGAGAAGACTTCAAAGTCCAAGCAATGGCAAAGCAAACCCTCAGGCTCCCATAAAGTATGTCTCCAACTCAGGAGAAATCAGTAGTCACCTCCAGACCCAGAGGGAAGCTGGCAGCAGAAGGATTGGAGGAGACAATCTTTCAGGAGCCTAAAAAGTCAAAAAATGGTGCAAGCCAGAGAGGGCTGGAAGGAGGGCAAGTGCAGAGGAGCCATGGGTAAGGTGAGAAAAGGCCCAGGCTACTGCTCCGGCCCAGATTCCCAGAGCTGAGAATATGGTCTAGACAGGAAGTGATTAAGGCATGAATGAAGAATTTCCCCAAAGGTTGGGTCAGGGAAAGGCCAGTGCTGGCACACAGTTGGAGACAGGGCAGAGGGGCAAATGTGCTAGGGGAGAGCATGTGGAACCCCTCCCCATCTCACCAGCATACAGCAGGGGCCATGGCAGCCCATGGTAGAGTGATGCTGATCTCCATGGCCCAATCACCTGCTGCCTTTCACAGCAGGCCATGAGGGTCACCAAGTGTCTTCCTCACACTTGCTCCAAGGACACATCCGATTTCCCAAAGGGTCCAGGGTTAAGAGACCACTTGGTTAGGGAATTCGTACAAATTGGAGGGTGCTTCTCCCAAGTGGCCCTAACCAAGCTTCCTCCTGGGAACCCAACCTCAGGGCAGGGTTTGTAGAAAAGATCTTGGTGCCTTAGTTAATGGTAAACTCCATGAGTCAGTGTGTAAAGTGAGGGTGTGTCTGTCTTGTGCTTCATAGTATTCCTGGAACCTAGCACAGAGCCTGGCTAGATTGTAGATGCTCAGTAACTATTGTGTGAATATATAAATGAGGCTGTTCCAAGATGCCAATTTGACCTCAGAGTACCTTAATCAAGTCTGTGACTTCTGGAAGGTGGTGTAATGAGGGCAACTCATGGTGTGGGACTGGATCAGCTCACAGACATTAGTAAACTTGAGCATGCCCAAAGAGACGAGACAAAGAACCAAGGAGGAACATTCCAGAAATTAAGAATTCTGAGCATTAGGGAGAACTTTCCACAATTTAGCACTCTCTGGTAACAAAACTACTGCTCTGATGTGCTGCCCCTGCAGACTTGAGAACTGATAAGAAAACCATTAGCTGGAAAGTTACAGGGAAGCAATTAAAATGGAAGACTCCAAAGAGTCCAATCAACACTGATGTTCTGTGAATTTATTCATCATTCTTGGTTTCTGTTCTTGGCATGACTAACATGTTTGGGTACCAAGATCTACATATTTGGTTGCTACAAAACTTCAAGAAAAAGGGATATTTGCTTGTCTTTGAATTGCTTCCTTCAGTGTTCAAGGTAGACAGGGATGGCAGGGATCTCTTGGTTCTAAGGCTCCAAAGATTTTTTTTTTTTTTGGCTGTCTGTGAGCTGATCCAGTCCTATACCATTATAACTGTCACCAGGCTATGGCTTCAGCTGGTGGTTCCTGAGTTTGTTTTTAAGCAGACATGCCAGAGGCAGCATGGGGTCACAGAAAGCAATGCCGAGCCAGAGAGACCTGAGTTCTAATCCTGACTCTATCCCTTACCAGCCTTGAGACCCTTGGGTCCCTATGAATCTCACTGGAGCCTTAGTTGCCTCAACTACAGAGTGGAGACAATTGCCCCCTCATGAGGGTACTGCAAGAGATCATTCGGATCAAGTATGTAAAATGCATACACATGGATTGCCTGAGCCCGCGGGTTCGAGACCCGCCTGGGCAGCTTGGTGAGACCTCATCTCTCTACAATAAATCAAAAATTAGCCGGGCGTGGTAGCACGCGCCTGTAGTTCCAGCTACTTGGAAGGCTGAGTGGAAGGATCACCGGAGCCCAGCAGGTCAAGGCTGTGGTGGCAGGGAGCGGCCGCTGCACTCCAGTCTGAGTGACAGAGTGAGACTCCAACTCAAAAAAAAAAAAATGCATACACAGTGAAGACACAGTAAGTGCCCAATGTTTGCAGATTCAATGGTGAGTAGGCAAACAAAAGAGTGAATTTAGACACAGGCATATGCCTCCGGGTGGCTGCCATTTTTAACTGCCTTTTCATGAGTCTGATAAACTCACTTTCACTTGACTTAGCTACCCCACACACTTACACTTGACTTAGCTACCCCACATACTTACTTACCAAACATAGCTCCAACTGACTCATTCCTGAAACTTACATCCCCCGCAACAGATGAAGTTTTACTCCCGCTGAGACAATTCAAAAGATATGCAGAGATTCTTACAAAAGTTCCCAAAGAGAAGGTCCAGAAAAGTTATCAGCAATATTATGTGGTGGAAATAAGCACACAGTCTTCCCCAGGAGCTCCCTTGAAAAAGACAATACTCATTTGGCATATAGGAGTTCTGGTTGGCTTGATTAAAAAACAAAACCAACCTCTTGCTTTAGCCACAATCGTACATTGGTGTCCCAGAATGCAGAGGCTGAAAGGGGCCTTGGAGATCAATCAACCTCTGACCTGCTCTTGCTGCCTCAAATACACACAATACCCAAGTTTCAGATGGGAAGACTGAGAAAGAAGAGAGAAGTTGCAAGTGAGCCAAAAGCAGAGCTCGGGCTGGATATGGGCTTCCTGCCTCCAAGTTTCCTAATCTTTCCACTACCTCAAGCTGCCACTCAATTCATCCAAGCCAGCTCTTCGTCAGGGCCTGATTTGCAGCAAGCCCCTAGTCTCACCCATGGCCCCCAGGCAGCCAGGCCAGGTCCCAGGCTCCAACTTCTGTTCTCAGGTAGTTTTAAGTCCAGGGACTGGCCTGTAGCCTGACAACCTCTGGGGAGTTTGTGGGTGAGTGATGTTCTCCCATTTAGAGATAAACAGGGGCCAGCTCCTAGGAAGACTGGCATGGCCCCCACCTCAGCCCCCTGTTGGCAGAGCTAGAACCCAGTAGAAATCATAGACTCATCTCATGTTAATACAGACCCAGAAAACTCAGGTAACTGATGCTCCTATAAAAATTCATTTTGGCTAACAGCTTTAATCTTCTGGCCCCCAAGGTCACTCCCCATAGCTGGAATGAAGTACAATCTCTTCTGCTCCTTAGAGGAAGTTGGGGTAAACAATGGATGTCTTTAGGGGCTGGGGAAACTTCCTAACCATTAAATATGGACCAAATAGCTTTGAGAGGAGGTGGGTTCCACATCACTGGAAATATACAAAAAAATCTGGGTTGCCATTTGGTAAGGGGGAGGTACTTTTCAGGTCTTCTCACCTTGAGATTGCACAATTTGAAGACCATCAGGAAGAGAGAAAAGCAAGGGGCCTGGAAGGTGCCAATGAAGCCCACTAGAAAACCCCACCTGGGAAATGCAGGTAAAAGTCCTACCTGGGCAGCCTTGTTCCTCCCCTCGTACAGCAGCAACTCCTCTGACAGCAGGAGGGTCCGGGCAGGGTTACAGAGATCCAGAGGCTGGAAACAGAACAAACTTGGGTTGAGCAGGCAGTTCAAAGGGGCCTGGTGGGGATGGTGCGGGAGGGCAGCAGCTTGTCAAAGCCAGTCACAGAGAACCCTGGGACAGAGGGAAGACTGCCAGCCCTCTTCTGACCCCAAGAACCCACACACTCCCTCAAGATGGAAACAGAAAGACAAGTTGCTCCTGTCCTGCACAGAGCTGTTGCTGCCACCTTCCCACCAACCCTCACCATGACAACTACACTCTGGTGGGCAGGAAGTCCAACCACAGGCTTAGGCCTTCTGCAGTCCTCAACCTCAGCTGCCCCTCTCGCCCCCCACTCCCCACACTCCCTCATCTGTCTTGCTCACGCCTCAATGGGAGGTCCTAGCTGTCAGGTCCAGGAGGCATCCTGAGAGCCACATATCAAGAGATGTGGCTACTAGAGTCCCATCAAGGCCAGGCCAGTCCCTGCTCTGCATCCATGACACATTTGATCTAGCTGACTCCTTCTCAGCCATCATTTCCCCAGGGACCAATTCTTACACAAACCTCTCACCCCACCTCATCACCCTACCCAGCCCAGCCCAGGGGAATCCTCCTAAGCTCCGCATTACCCAGCAGGACTTGTGGATATATATTTATCACATGGCATACCTGACATCAAGCAAGGGGCTTGGAAAAAAGTGATGAAACACCCATCAGCTACACAACAAACCTGATGGATCTTATAAATAATGTGAAGCAAAAGAAGCAAGATCCAAAAAAAATATGTGAAGTATGATTTAATTAAGTAACATTCAAAAAAGAGCAACATAGGCCGGGCACAGTAGCTCATGCCTATAATCACAGCATTTTGGGAGGCTGATCACCTGAGCCCAGAAGTTCAAGATCAACCTGGGCAACATGGCAAAACTTTGTCTCTACAGTAAATAAAAAAATTAGGCCAGGCACAGTGACTCAGGCCTATAATCCCAGCACTTTGGCAGGCAGAGGCGAGAGGATTGCCTGAGACCGCAGGTTCAAGACTAGCCTGGGCAACATGGTGATACCTCGTCTCTACAATAAATCAAAAAGTTAGCTGGGCATGATAATGCGTGCCTGTAGCTCTGGCTACTTGGAAGGCTGAGGTGGAAGGATTGCCGGAACCCACAGCAGATCGATGCTGGGGTGACCGTGAGCATGCCACTGTACTCCAGCCTGGGTGATGGAGTGAGACTCCAACTCAAAAATAAAAATAAAAATTAGCTGGGCATGATGGCGCACACCTATATAGTTCCGGTTACTTGGAAGACCGAGGCAAAAGGATCACCTGAGCCCAGCAAGTTGAGACTGCGGTAGCCGTGATCATGCCAGGGCCATAAAACATATTCTTTGGGGAAACGTACATAGATGGTAGAACTAAGGAAAAGCAGGGAAATAATTACCATAAAGTCAGGCCAGTGTGTACCTCTGGTGGGAAGGGAGGGCATTATGGTCAGGAAGAAAGACATGTATTTCTAGAGTGGAGACAATAGTCTATTCTGTTTTATTAGTAGATACTCGCTTCAAAATTATTTGCTAAGCTATACATCTAAATATTGTGCCAGTGTTTGTTTTTACATTGCACCATTTAAAATTTAATAACTTTTTAAAACAAGTGTTAATTTCATATACAATTTTTAAAAATTTTTTTATTTTTTTGAGTTGAAGTCTCACTCCGCCACCCAGACTGGAGTGCAGTGGCCGCTCCCGGCCACCGCAGCCTCGACCTGCTGGGTTCCGGCGATCCTTCCGCCTCAACCTTCCAAGTAGCTGGAACTACAGGCATGCACTACCACGCCCGGCTAATTTTTTATTTATTGTAGAGATGAGGTCTTGCCAAGTTGCCCAGGCAGGTCTCGAACCCGCGGGCTCAGGCAATCCACTCACCTCAGCCTCCCAAAGCACGGAATTACAGGCTGAGCCACCAAGCCCGGCTAATTTCATATACAAATTTTTAAATGAAAATGAAACTTAGCTCCCATCGATGCCATGCCCTTTGTGTCACATCCCAAGAAAGAAAAGGGACCAACAGAAAGGCAAAGGCCAGGTCATGCCAATGGAGCTGTCTGAGAAGAGGCGTGTGGCTTGCCTAACAGAGCACGTTCCAGGTTCCACTGGACAGTGACAGGCCCGGGAAGGAATGCCAGGGAGATCAGAGGAGCATGGTCAGAAACAAAGCCCTTGGGGCCATGTCACCTCTATGTATTCTAGTGGATAAACCATTAGACTCTTCCTGGAAAGCAATTTGTCAATATGCGTAAAGAGCCTTTAAAATGTTTATGACCCATGACCCGCTAGTTACACTTCCAGGAGTCTCTCCCAAGGAAAATAATCAGAGAGGCAATTCATGCACAAGGATTTTCATCACAGAGTTATTTTCAGTAGCCAAAGAGTAGACATAAGTATCAAAACAGAGAGCTGGTTAAACAAATATGGTGTGTCCATACAATAGAATAGCGTGTGGCCACCATACACACAGGACATTGAATGATGTGGGAAAGGGTCACACTTCCCTTTTCATTTTAAAAAGGCAACAGGATATAGAGAATAAGATGTGGGTTTTTTTTAATGTGTATAAGCACATAGAAAAGACACCTAAATGTTCACATGGTTACATCTGAGCGATGAAATAAATGAAGGCTATTTTTAAAGAGAAGGAGAAAGACATGGGGAGGAAGAGAGGGAAGAAGAGGGAAAGTAGAGGAAGGGCGAGCTCGTGAATCTTAGGGCATTGGCTGATACTGGTCAGACATGTTTGCAGAGACCAAGGAGACCAGACAAGATGACAGATTCCAAGGCTCTCCCTCAGTCACATCCAAATGACAAACCACCAGGTAAGCCAGGACGTGGGAGCCTCAGCAAACAGCGCTGTGACATTACAGCAAGCAGTTACAGTGCACATGCCGTGTTCCCAGAGAAAAGGGAGGTGGGGAGGGGGAACAGAGAGGATCCTCTCATTGCTGGATCCCCAACTCCTACTTTTTCCTGTATATCTTCCCAGAAACCTCTGCTCCCTCAATATAAGCACCAGAATCCTAAGCATCTGAAGTTTATTTAACTTTCCCCAAAGTGGGTCCTCAGTCCTAGGGTGAGACACCATCTCTGAGATCTGGGGCAAAGGCCCCCTCTTTCTTACTTCCTCCTGAGGGAACCCTTGGGGGCCAGCCACAGGCTTACCTGAACAAAGACGGGGAACACCAGGACTTTGGGGGCCAGGGTGACATAAGTGCCGTAGCTTGAGTGTGTGGCGTGCGGCCTCATGACCGGGCAGTTCTGGTAGTTCCCGTGGCCCTTCATGGTCTGCACTGTCTTCATCAGCCGAGACTTCTTCCCCAAGCCTGTGTAGGACTTTGCTTTACTGGGACTCCCTGATTCTGTGGAACAGAGATGGGGCACTGTGAGGCATCTCCATCACCCCTGCAAAGGCACCCCTTCTGTAGAAACAGAAAACACAGACTCATTCCATCAGCAGCATTTTATCTGAGAGACACAGACATGTGAATAAGCAACTCCTGGGCTAGAATGGAGCCAGGAACCATCAACTATGACATAGGCAGCACTCTGCACCTGGTGCCCCAGGCCCTGAAGCAGACTTACCAGTTTGGCCTCATGGTTTTAAAATCAAGAAATCTCATCCCAGCACTTTGGGAGGCTGAGGTGGGAGGATTGCTTGAGCCTAAGAGTTTGAGACCAGCCTGGGCAACATAGCAAGACTTTGTCTCTACAAAAAAATTATAAATAAATAAATAAATACAATGGCTGGGCGTATGTATGTTATTTTTTTAAAAAGAAAAAAATCTCTCCTATTTGAAAAATCAGAAGCTCTGACCTCACTGAGCCCACAAGTCCCACGTGGAACAATCAGAGCACAGCACCCATATGGCGGAGCATGTGCTCCCCTCCCCTCACCTCCCACCCATCCCCACTACTCCATACACACACCAAGCCCAACCCACCCATTCCATCACCTCCCAGCTCCATGGACAAAGATCCATTCTCCGCAGTCATGGCAGAGACAAGGGGTTTTCTGGGATATACCGGGGCCCACCCTCTATAGCCAAGGGGCCTGGAGCTGCCTGGCTCACTTCAGTCAGCCTAGAGTAAGGAGTGGCATTCGCTGCCCCAGGTCTTGGTAAACACCACAAGCCCTGAAACCAGATGGCTGTGCTCAAATCCTGCTTACTAGCTCAGTGACCTTGGGCAACTTCCTTCACTCTCAGAATCTTGGTTTCCTCAACTATAACCATAGTGCCTGGCTCACTGGGTTGTTGAGAGGATCAAATGTAAGATGCTCTAAGTAAAGTTCTTAGAACAGTGCCTGGAGCCTAGGAAGCATGTGATCAAAGTTAGCAGCTCACTTATTGTCGTTTTTGTTATTGTGATTCTCTACTTGGAAAAGCAAGTTTGGAAATCAGGTGTCCCGTGGGACTCCGGGAATCCTAGGCTTCATCACATCCAAGAGGTCCTCTGACTTGACCACCAACTCACAAATTATTCTAATCATAAAAAGGAGAGAGAGAAACAGGCCACTCCTGGGGAAAAGAGCACGGGCTGCAATGGCAAGGGGCCCCTCTTTAAGGGGACACTGCTGGACATACATCCACATCCTGAACAAAGGGTGTACCAGTCTTGATCACGTCCCATCAAATGGCCAGAGGGACAAAACACAAAGCAGCTAAAAAGTCAGGGACTCCTGGATGCAAGCAGGTGGGTGGCAAACTCCAGGCTCCACACACACCTGGGCTCCTTCCAAGGGGTTCCTGCTGCAAGTGGACAGCTGACCACAGCCTCCCTGAGCTGGATGACTAGCTTGGGTCCCAGGGCCCAGACCCCCCCCACTGCCCTTCCCCCCAGCCCTGGCAGCCAGGGGTGAACAAGTGGCCTAACCCCAGCTACATCTCAGGGAAGCTCCCCACCAACGCAAACCCATGGCCTCAGAGGAAACACTCAGCTCAGAAGGTTTCACACTTGTTTCCTCCTCCCACCCGTGCGCCCTCCTCACCCAGCAGGGTGAGAAAAACAAGCCGACTCCCCCCAACAAGTGACCACTGATCACAGTCGAATCTGGGGGCGGCTCTCAAATCATGATAAGTCAAACCACTTCCTGCCTCTTCAGTGAGTTGGTGAGTCGCCTAGAGAGGAGCAGAAAGAGCACGAGCCCAGGATGGGCACAGAAGGAACAGACGAAAGGAAGAACACACAGCTCCTCATCTGAATTTGCCCTGCACATCGGAGGGGTATATACTGCCAGGCCCTGGCCCTTTGCTGAAAGAACCATCCTGCATCAAGATTCACACTGGATTTGAGTTGGATAAGACATCTGAACTTGATCCTGACTTCCCAAGCGCAACCCTGGCTGTGCAACCCTGAAGAGGTTCTGTCCTTCTCTGGGTCAAAGTTTTCTCCACTGCAAAGTGGAGATAATACAGATTGCTGCCTTGCTTGCCCCAGGGCCGGTGGGAGGCTCACGCAAGAGATCTGATGGGAAAGGGCTTGGTGTGAGTGCTGGAGGGATTATCAGAAATCCTAAACTGTTGAGTAATCCACCCATCAGTGCTGGGGGAGGAGAAGCAGGGCTGCTGGGTTTCAACCCATGCTGTGAATGGGGTCCCAGGATCAGACCGAATCTAGACGGTCTAAGACCTAGACCATGCCTAGACCAGAGAAGGCAAAACCATGCAGGATTGATAAGCAGGGAACTGAAGCAGAATAGACCAAAATTAAAGAAGGGTACAATTTGCAGATGCCAAGATCTGGGCCCTAGGCCCCCAGTCTTAAGACTTTAAAAAAATCAATTTCTTCCCTTCCTGAGCCCAGATGCCCAGGGCTATCACAGAATCTTCACCTGAGGCCTCAAGAGTCATAAATAAACCACCTGACACATAACTCTGCCCTCAGAAAGGAAAGGTCTGCTCAACCCTGTTTTATAGACAGGGATACTCAGGCCTGGAGTGTGTGGGCGACTTGCCCAAGGTCACTTGGCCAGTAAATGATAAAGATGGGATCAGCTCAAACCATGTCACTTCCTCCTCCCACACTGTGCCCCTCCTCCCTGAGCAGGGTGAGAAAAACAGGTCGTCTTCCCCAGAGAAGTGACCTGTGTGTCAATCGTGCTCTAGTGCCCAATCTCCACCCACCCATGGATAACGTGTGGCACATGGGAGTGGCTCTCCATGACTGATTTTTGAAGTATCTTTTCAGAATAGTCCAGGTTGCAACCCAGTTACTGAGTTCCGTGAGGGCCAACTCATTTACTTCCCACCTGCTACCTCTTACCTCATCTGGTCCAAACCCCGACATCGCCCTTTTTCCTCTAATACCTGCTTCACTGACCAAACACAGTAATTACACAGCTTTACGCCAGTTTCCGAGGTGAACTCTGGCAGCCACCCCACCCTGGCAGTGGCAAATCTGAGGCCAGGCCGCCTTTACAGGGCAAGGGCAGGGACAATGCCGGGAGCACCAGGGGCCCTGGGGAACATGCCAACCACAGCCAGGCAGGCGCCCCTGGTCCTAGAAGGGCACCAGATCCTATTCAACTCAGGATGGCTTAACACTCCTCCTGAAAGGCTGCCTCCTGGTAGCCCAGCCAGAAAAGGGGGACTGAGAAGTCAGTGCCGTGGTGATAGCCTTAACCTCTGGACAACCCCAAGTGTATTTAAGGGAAGGTGTATGTCCTGAATTTTACCCTTTCCTCTAAGCCCTGCGACTGTGAGCTACACAGACTTGATCCCTGGTAAACAGCAAAGATGTCCTTGGATACCAAAAGGATTATTATTATGAAAAATAATAATAAGGTCAAGATCTTAACACAATGCATTCAAAGAGTTACCATGGTCATTAACAACATCATCGTTTTCTTACTTGTCCCTTTTTCCACAGCTTAGATGACTGTGCCTTTCTTGACTCACTAAGTATTATATTCTCAGAGGGGAATGGATACAGGCTGGAAGCACACCAGGGAGACACGGAGGCGACCTCAGGCTGAGAAGGAAACAGTCCCAGACCACCCAGCCTGTGCCCATGTGCTCACTGCAGGAGACACACCTCTCTACTCCCTCTGTGACCAGCCTCAAACTTTGAGAGGCAACCAGAGGCATTCTCCTTCAGTCAGTCACTCAGCCAAAGTGCTACTGAGTATCTGCCATCTGCCAGGCCCTGGGTCTAGCACTGGACCCACAGAAACGAGCCAGGCCCAGGATCTGCCCTTAATTGGGTCCCATTTAGCAGTGGCATCTCCACTCTAACCTAATGTGCTAAAAGCTTTTTAAAAACTCATTGTCAAATTGCTATCAGACTCCTCCCCAGAAGGAACACAGATTCATTTCCAGCAGACTAGGCCCACTGCCCAAATGCCCCAGACTGGAGAGAAAGAAGGTGTCTTCCATTGGTGACCCTGAGTCTGATGGGAGCCCTTTTCACTCAAAAAAGGCACATTATTCCAAGTACCCACTATAAGCATCATCTTCATGCCACTGACAGAGAAACAGCAAGAAAGCAAGTCTGCGAGTGGCTATGAAAAAGTCACTCTCAAGGAAGGAGGCCAAGGGCATTCTGAAGGCACCAGAGCAAGGCTCAAGCACACCCATGGTGAGCATCACAGGCCACCTGGCCAGGTTGTCTTAACCTTCTAGACACTGGTTGGACTTTTGAGTAAAAGCTCTCTGGTAGGCACATGGAATGCCTCAGGGAATGCACAGTCGACTCCAGTATCAAGACTGACGTCTCAGACTTCCTGGAAGAAGGAATTGGTTTTGAGCTCAGCTTCCATCTCTGGAGAAAAGAGACATTTGTGCACTTCAAAGACGACTACCCTCTGAATAGTGTCTCTCAGTATACAGACTACTACTCACAGTCATTTTTCACATGGAATCCTCCCAATAACACTCTGAGGTAGAAAATTACTGGTCCCATTTTAGCCCCAAATTGAAGAAACAGGCTCAGTGAGGGGATGTGGTTTGCTCAAAGTCACATAGCTAAAACTCCAACTTGAGAACTCCCAGACCCAACACGCACGACTCCTTTCCATGCAGGCCCAACCCTGTTGCCTACAGCACCTAACATGCATCTGTTGTTCGGTAAAATTGGATGAATGGCAGTTGAGGGTCTGGGTCCTGAACACTCTGTCTCTTAAATTGCTCTGGTAAGATCCCCCTCTTCCTTTTCAGTTCTGCCTTCAAGGAAGAAAGACACTGGTTCAGTGAGGGAGAAAAGCTACCAAGAGGAAGGATAGTCTGTATCAATATGCTGAGTGGCCTTGATTCCATTGGAAAGACCTTAGAACTCAGAGCGGGGCACCGGGCCAGGCCTCAGCTGACTTCTGCTATCTCTCCAGGCCAGGAGGGCACAGCAGCAGAAGGCAGACTCACCTTCAGGGATGGTATCCTCCTGGTACACGGGCCGAAGCAGCTGCAAGGAAAAGATAGGAGAACCATTTCAGCCCCAGGAACAGGGCAGGACAGCCCAGCAGGTTGCAGGACACTGGGCTGGGGGATAGGAAGTAAGCACCTTGGGACATAAGGGGGAAGCAGCAGTTCTGCTGACCAGCTGAGGGAGAAGGCTGGGAAAGAACACAAAAGCCCAGAGTATTAGAGTTGAAAGAGGCTTTAAGGGTCATGAGGTCTAACCCCCTGGCAAGTCCTCAACTTCCTTTACACCAGCTTGTTCCAAAGTGCATTCCACAGAACACTGGAACAAATGGTAGGACACCAACAGCCATGTCATAAAGTGTGTCACTGTCAGGCAAGTTTGTAAAACCCTGTGTTAAACAAGGTCCAACCACCTTTTTTACCTCAGGATGCCCTCAGAGCTGATCTGCATTGGGAATCTCCCCTGAAGAGGACAAGAATACAGGATATTTCTCAAACTTATTTGACCTCAGAATACCTTTTTCCCAGAGCATCTCATAGGATTAATGTTTAGGGGAATGCACTTCATCACCCCACCATGCAATCGTGCAGTGTCTTCTTTCATACCTCCTAAGACAGGAGGCTCACCACCTACCAAGGCGGCCACTCCACTGTGGAAAAGCACAGGCTGGTAGAACGTGCTTTCTTCTCGCAAGTTGAAATCTTCCGGCCTGGGCATGCCCTGGTCCTGGATCTGTGCCCCGAAACCACACAAGCCCATCTACCCTCTCTACCCAGGACAGCCTTGCAGAGGTCAGAGCTACCACACACGCATCTCCTTGCCCAACACTTCCAGACCCTTGCAGGCTTCCCACAACACAACTTTGAGTCTTCCTGGCCTCTCACGGGGACCCCTTCACCTTCCCCCACAACAGCTGTCCCTACCTGGCTCCCAGGGTTCAGCGGGGCCAGGATGATGTAGTTGGGATCGGTGGGGGCAGTGGCCCGAGACAGCGCAGGCAGGGTGTGCTGGCCCCCACGCTTGGCCACCTCGGTGTAGCGCTCCCAGCCGCCAAGCAGTAGCCCATCGGAGCTGTCACACACCAGGTGGCAGCTGTGGCGCTGCTCGGGTCGTGCCTGGGCCCCGTGGGAGCAGTTCTTCTCCCGCTTGTTGGGGGGCGATTGGAGGTCGTGCGTCGACTTGCAGGAGGCCCGCCGCAGGACCCCACCATCTGGCCCCGGCTTGACCTGGGGGACCATGCGCCACACAAGCAGGATGATCTCACTGGGGCAGCTCCTGGAAGTCAGGGGATCACACAGAGAGGTTGAGCCTGGGGAAGACCAGAGTGGGGGCCTGCAGGGCAGAGAGGACTGGGGCAGGGAGGGGCAGACGCAGGAAAGAAGCACCCGGGGTCACGGCAGGAAGAGATGTAAGAGGTCACTTACAGCAGAGACAGCAAAGGGATCTCTTGAGTCAATTCCAATTGACTGGCAGTGGCTGAGAAGGATGTGAGGCCAAGGCCAGGTTCAGCAGGAAAGAGCAGCACATTCAACCCATGGGCAAGATAGAACCAAGTGGAAGCAAGCAAACCACCTAAGTGCAACCCCTCACCTAGTCATTCTAGCAGCAAACCTAAAATGGGGCCATTAGGGTTTTACCCCAGGGGTCCAAATGGAGGGAACCCAAATATTTTAAAGAATAATTTTACAATTGTGCAATGGAAACATTAGTAACATCTACACATCCTTAGAAAACAGATATGAGCTGGGCGGGACGCAGTGACTTATACCTGTAATCCCAGCAGTTTGGGAGGCTGAAGTAGACGATTGCTTGAGCCCAGGGGTTCAAGACAAGTCTGGGCAACAGAGCGAGACCGTGTCTCTACAAAAAAATCAAAAAATTAGCAGGGCATGGTGGCATGTACCTGTAGGCCCAGCTACTCGGAGGCTGAGGCAGAAGGATCGCCTGAGCCCAGGAGGTCACAGCTGCAGTGAGCTGTGATCGTGCCACTCCAGACTGGGTAACAGAGTGAGACCCTCAACGCAAAAGAAAAAAGAAGAAAAGAAAACAATAGGCTTAGCTCTTAGGTAGCAGAAATGATTAGCTGGAGCTAAAAGCAAGGCCCTGGAGCCACATGTTGAACCACAAGGTCTGTTGGAGATCTTCTTCCCTACTGTTTGCTTGGGATCCAAAACTGCTCTGAGCCTGAGCCTTCCATTTCAGGCCAAGAAACAGATAAGGACAAAGTGAATTGCTCACAGCTAGGCAAAGGAAGGACCAGCCAGGGCAGGGAAGGGTAAGGCAGTATACCCAGGGCTGGGGTAGGGAGGGTGTGATGTCAGCCCGAGGCCCCAGGCACCCGCTGCCCCCTGTCACCGGATCTCGTGGGCCAGCTCCACACATTTCCAATGCTCCACAGGCCTCTCGTTCAGTTGCAGCACCGTGTCCAGCTGCTGCAGCCCCGCCTGCTCCGCCGGGCCCCCTGTAGGGACAAAGAAAAGCCATTCAGAGGTCCCTGAAGCCCAAGACCTTCTCAGAGGACCTAGAGTGCTTTGCTTCCACGGTGACCTCAAACCGCCCTTTTTCTCTATGTTTCTTCATCTGTGTAATGAGGGGCCAAACTTTAGAACGCTCAAAGGCCTGGAAGGGAGGCACCCCTTGGCCCTCACCTCCTCCCTGTCTGTCTCACCCTAATGCTGGCCAAGGCTCCCTCCTCCTCCCCAGGGCCTCCTACCCCATGGAGAGCCCTTCTCTGTTGCCAGCCTCACAAGCTTCATTCATTCTTTCCACAGCATTCATTGAGCGCCAACCTCATGCCCATCCCTTGCAGGTGCTGGGACACCCTGATCACTGATCCCTGGCTTCTGCCCCTAACATATTCATGCTGTGATTAGGATAAGTCTTTTATTTGTGAAAAGTAGGGAAGAATAACTGTTTTAAGTGCTAACCAGACTGAGGATAGGATAAAATACCGATTTCAAATCGAGTTCATAATGATTCATTTTCCCATGCAGCCATTACTGAAAATATGTGTTTCGTACCTGTTCATACTGATTGGGAAACAAAACATAAAAACCTATTTTCATTTTGATAAAAACAAAAGGAGGGGCATATTTTCATAAACACCAGTTTCTCCTGTGGCCATTTAAAAATATTATTCTTTTCATTTTAAAAAAACCAGGACACTTTGCTCCAGTCTGGGGCTCCCCTCTCAGTTCTAGCCTCTGTTTGCTGGCACATGGCAGGCAAGCCCGGGTTCATGGTGGGCGAGCAAGGCTAGCATTTCCCAGTAGTTCACTTACCGGAATCCACGGCCTGGACTCGGACGGGAGAGTCACAGCAGATGGTGAAGCCAAAGCCGTCCTTCCCCCTCGGGATGGTGATCTAGGACACAGCCCTGCCCAGTCACTCCCAGAAGCCGGAGGCCGCTGCCTCTGCCCCAAGATCGGGAAGCCCACAGGCCCCACTCCAGAGCCACCCTCCTCCCCAAGGGAATGGAGCCAAGAAGGAGCTAGCCAGCCCCTCACTGTCCCTATCTCGGCCCAGGCATCTTGAGCACTGGGTTATGGGCCAAGTAGGAAGGCTGAGAGCTCAGGAGGTAAACCCAGTCTGACATGGGGAGGGTGTGGGGTAGATGAAGCTTTAGAAGGGTAAATCTTGTCCTCCTCAGCCCTAGCAGCCCCGGGCCTTGACCTAAGGGCCCACTTGGCCCTTACTACTTGGCCCACATACCTCCACCTCGCCTAGGATTCCCTGCCTGCCTGGCTCCCTTCTTCCTTTCCGACAGAGGTTCACGGAGCATTTCCCCAGGGCTCGCCCTGTGCTGAGGGCCCAAAGACAAAGCCAGCCTGGTACTTGCCCTCTTAGAGCACAGAGGAAAGACAGCTGAGACACACTCAACCTCAGGCCAAAGGGTCAGGGGAAGAGAGCTGGGGTTGTTGGGGGCAGTCTATGGTCAGGGCCCCAAGACGTCCAGTAAGGGCACCCAGGTAAGGGGGCAGGTGAGGTCACAGACAGGCCTCTCGTGAGCTAGCCACTGACCTCACTGTGCCTGCTGTGGCCCGTGTACTTGGCAGGTCCACAGCCCCTACTTTCAGAAGTCCCATGGAAGGGCTTCTCCATCTGAATGGTCTTTTCAAAGCAACACACAAGTCTTGAGCCATTGCAAGCCAGCCTCTGCAGAGGTACCAGGCATGAGGCTTCGGCCTGTGGCTCCTAGAGAGCATGATGGTACACAAATCTCTCCAAAGCAAAGCAGAGTGCGGGGGCAATAGAGCAAAACATGAGGACTGTGCTGCGAAGTCCTTCATGCTTTGACCTTGGGTGCCACGCTTGGCATATGGTAGGAACTCAGCAAAGGCTGATTTAGTGAGGACGGCCTGGCAGTGCCCCACCCGCAGAAGGATGCAGTGTGCAGTGTGGTCTGCTGACTCATTCAGACTGCTAAGAGATCAAAAGTCAGAAAAGGAGTTCAATGGGGTCCCAAGAGACCTCCCTAGCAGAAGTGGAACATCGGGTGAGCCCTGGTAAGGCATGGGGAAGGGTGTCCCAGGCAAGTTGAGGAAGAAGCCAGCTCAGCAAGCCTGGTAAAGGTCAAGGGCACCGGCCTTGTCAAGAGACCCCTGTCTCCTTCCTTTAAGGGTTGTCTCTTCAAGGCTGGGCGCCTGCGTGCACTTGCCAACCACCCCAAAGCCAGGCCTAAAGAAGGGCTGGGGGAGAGGACCCATGGTGACCGAGACCCTTGGAAACTGCCTGGGCTCCTGAGGCTCTGCTTCCCACCAGCCCCGGGCCTGGATTCAAAGCAAGTTTGTAAAACAGGAAATCTGACAGACAAGGGGAAGGGGGAGGGAGCAGGAAAATACCCCGTTCCCATAAGAATTCTGGGAAAACACGCAGCTAAGACAGGAAGAGGAAAAAAAATGGAAAGAAAGAAAGAAAAACAAACCCGGGAGCGAGTGTGGAAAGCTAGAGGAAAGGAGCGACCACTAGCTGCTGGGCCCACTTGAGACAGAGGGAACATGCCAGGAACTTGTTCTACTCCACAGAACCAGCAGGGATCTTCAGGGGCCTCACAAGCCACCCCTCAACCCTAGCAGAAGCCAGAGATCCAATGCCTGTCCAGCACCTCCCCGGTCCTACCCCACCAAGGGGCCACAGTCCCTCCTGCCTGGAAACTGGTCCCAGCACCCTGGGCTCTGGGCTAGCAGTTTCAGGATAGTAGCTGGAGTTGAGTCTGGACAGGAGTACACTTTCCCCACGCACCCCCTAGTCCCCTGGTGCAAGAGGGACTGTCGACTGCAGCCCTTTCACCTTCCTGGGCGCCTAAGAAGAGCCAGCCCAACAACAGTCCAAACCAGCTGGAGGGTGCAATGGAGGGGCAGAGGAGATGGTATCAGGATGCAAGGTGAGGGCATAGGGCAACACAGATGAAGCAAAATTATGCTCCGTACACTGCAACTGCTGACCACATTTGAGAGGGTAGGATCCAAAGAACCTGGGCCTCCCTGTAGTCCCAAAAGGAATGCAGGGCTGGTTTTAGTATGCCCAGCCTACAGAGAAGATGGAAACTGAGACCCAAAGTAAGTGCCACCACCACCGCCAGCGCCCCCACCCCCCAACACACATGCATGCACGCCTGCCCTCAGCCCTCCTCTCTCCCTTGGCCAGGAGGCTAAGGGAGCAGCCCTACTCTGACTCCTCGGTGGCTCCTGACAGAGGCTGTCCTTCCTGTGGGTGGTTCTGGCTCTTTCCTGTACAGGGCAGGAATTGCCATTGCTCCCAGCTCTCACCCATGCCAGCACCTCACTTCTGCTCTCCTGCCTGGTTTAGGATCCTCTGTCCTGTTTGGACTCTAATTCCCTGCTATCACCATGTATTGAACCTTCCTAGATCTATGCGGTAGACACAGAGTCAAGCACTCCATACCCATCGTCTCAGCTATGCTCCAGTATCATCACTGGATTTTACTGTCCCTATTTTACTGACAAGGAGATTGAGGCTCAGAGAAGTAGAGTGACTTGCTCAAAAGCCACAGCTACAGGGAAGCAGAGCAAGATCTGAGCTCAGGGCTGACATAAAGCTTGGAGTTCTCAAGTCTGCGCTGGTTCCTAATGCAGAAGCTGTCTTCAGTTCTGAGTCCCAGAGCCCCAGGTCCACCCACAGCCCTGCCTGGCCCCACTCTGACTGTCAGTAGTCCCAAAGTGACCAAGGACTTCCAGCCCATAGTCCCAAAGTGACCAAGGACTTCCAGCCCATAGTCCCAAAGTGACCAAGGACTTCTAGATGTCCTATCCAGTGCTCTCTGTCTCACCACTCCGCCACCCAGATGCTGGTGTCACAGGGGCTGCTTTTAACACTCGGGTCCCCTAGTAAACAGGTGCAGGGGCGAGGGGAGTAGGGGCCCCTCTGGGCATCTCCCTGGACCTAAACACTACATGTCAGAGGAGTCAGGACCCAAATTCCACCCTGATCATTAAAACAAACAGAGGGTCTTCTCTGTGTTTGTTCTTTTCTTTTTTGAGTTGGAGTCTCAATCCATCGCCCAGGCTAGAGTGCAGTGGCACACTCATGGCCACCCCAGCATCAACCGGCTGGGCTCCAGCGATCCTTCCACCTTAGCCTTCCAAGTAGCCGGAACTATAGGCATGCTACTGTGGGTGCTACTGCGCCCGGCTAATTTTTTGACTTATTGTAAAGACGAGGTCTCGCCAAGTTGCCTGGACTGTTCTCAAACCTGCGGGCTCAGGCAATACACTCACCTTGGCCTCCCAAAGTGCTGGGATTACAGGCTGAGCCACTGAACCCTGCCAGTGTTTTTTCAATCAGACCAATTTCTGAGCTGCCTTTTGGCTTGGATGTCCCTTACTTTCACTCTTCCCAACTCCATTCCTTTTTTTTATAAGAAAAGATGCCCCATCACATACTGACATGTATACACAGAGGGCAGAACAGGCACCACCATCCCACCAAAAGTAGGAAAAGCTCGCAAAAATACAAAACCCACCTCTAGAAACACACAGCTGCTCAGCAACAAAGGCTTGAGATGTCTTTTTAAACCCACACCCCCTCCCCAAATAAAAAGAACAGAAAATCTGCTAGATAATCTCACCAAGGATACTACCCAGTTCATGGTCAGGCCCACACATGGAGCTGGCCCTCATCTGACCCTAAGGTGCGATGGCAGGTAACAGGCTGGGTCTAGCTCCTGCCTCTATCCTTCTCTCCAGATCAAAAAGAGCCTGCAGGGAACAGGACTAGGCCAGGAAGGTGTCGTGGGGAGAGAGGTCCTGCTCCAAAGAGCTCCCACACCCCCTCATGCCCCACAGGCTCCCCAAGGGGCCAAGCACCCACCTGGCGGTAGCGGCGCTCCGAACACACCTTGCAGAGCCCATTGAAGCGGTTCATGGCTGCGGGTCCTGCTTCGGCTGCCGCCCCATGAAAACTCAGCTCTCCCCCAGCAGCGGGAGCCCGCACTGCACCCGTCAGCCTGGCATGAGCGCCCTGGGAAGCCCGCCCCACAGAAGAATGGCAGGAAATCACCTCTCACCTCCCCAAGCCCTGTCTGTGCTGTGTGCCTCTGCATGATAAGCCTGAAGGCTTCCTGAAACCTCAGAGTGACAAGGAAGAGGGAGAGTTTTATATTAAAATTCCTGTCAACTAGTTAGTATTCCTCGGGCCTGGCGGGGAGAGGGCGCCTTTGTTCTGGCTGCATTCTCCGCCATGGGCCACTTTGTAATTCCAGTGTTCTCACAAACACCCCTCACTGGAGGAGAACCCAGGCAGAAACAGCCGCTTGATAACAACGGTGTCTCCCGCTACAAGTCCCAGGGACTACAGTAGCAAGTCCCAGGGACTACCCCAGCCTAAAGAATCCAAAGACACACGGTTTGCACTTGCAGACATCCCATGTCAAGACAGTGACCAGAAACCATTTGGAGTCTGAGAACCTGCCTGCCACTCAGAAGCAATTTAATGTCAGTTTTCCCACTTGTGTCAGTGGCTTGCTTTAAGGATTGGTAATATGTGGACCATGAGGTCAAATGTGGAAGGGATTTCCAAATCATCAGATGATCTAGCTCCTCATCTTACCAACCAAAAAACTGAGGCCTGGGGAGGTCATGGTCACACAGCAGGGGAGTGGTGGGGCTGGAACCAGAACTCAGGTCCTGTTTCCTGCCTTTCAGTCCCAGGATCATATGCTGTAGGGCAGCACATGGTGAACCCAGCTCTCTGCCCATCTTGGAGTCTCTGAGGAAGCCCACCCACCCACTGACATCCTTGGTGACAGAGAGTTCCTGGGTCTAGCCCAGCTTTGGTTGCTGGGTGACCAGGTTTCTAGGCCTCCATCTCCCCACCTGCACCATACAAAAGTTGAGCAAGTGATCTCCAAGGGCTTTCCCCCAGCCCCAAGCAATCACGATCTGACAATCACACCCCCTTTGCTGAGTCCTATAAACATCTCTGAGCATGCAAGCTCAGGAAAAATCAATGCACCTCAGGACAAGACCCCTAGAAACTCGAGCCCTATGTGCAGAATCCAGTATGAAGCAGGACTTTCCCAAGCCACTGAGAAACCTAGAGTGTTGACATCCGTATAATTCCCACAAATCACCTACAAGGCTTTCTGGCTACCATCCTTTCTGTGCTTAGCAGGTACAGAGAGAAGGAAAAAGGTCTTTGCAGTTCCCTACTGAAGCCAGAGAAAAGCTTTTCAATTCCTTATAGAGCCACAGAAAACAGACCTGGCCAGTTACTTTAGTACTATGCTGTCCAATGTGGTAGCAACTAGACACATGGGCAAGGTAAACTGAAATCAATTAAAACTAAATACAAGTTCACATTCAGAGCTGGGTGTAGTGTCTCACACCTATAATCCCAGCACTTTGGAAGAACAAGACAAGTGGATTGCCCGAGCCCAGGGTTTCGAGACCAGACCGTGTCTCTACAATAAATCAAAAAATTAGCCAGGCATGGTGGCACACGCTTGTAGTTCCAGCTACTTGGAAGGCTGAGGCAGAAGGATCACTTGAGCCCAGGAGTTCAAGGCTGCAGTAGCTGTGACTATGCCACTACTCCAACCTGGATGACAGAGTGAGACTCCAACTCAAAAAAAAAAAAAAGTTAACATTTAGTTCCTCGGTAACACTAGCCACATTCCAAGAGCTCAGTAGCCCCAGGTAGCAGTTGGCTACCATGTTGGGCAGTGCAGTCGTAGACCACGCACTCCATGAGGGCAGGACCTTAGACTGGTTCACAGCTTGTATCCCAACACCCAGCACGGGGCAGGACCCACATAGATGAAAATGTTCAATGAATGATGAATGAATAAGTCAATGAGCGCGAAAATGTTTTGTAGATTATATTACACCTGCACATAAGATACTCTTACAGGTTATACCAACGTCGCATCTTCCCAACCAGGTCACACACAGGAGGCAGGGTGGCTCATCGCACCGAGGAGGCAGCCAGATCTTACTTGGCGCCTCTACCACCTGCTGGCTATGAGGCCATGAAGAATGATCCGATGGCCCTGGACCTGATGTGATCCCCTTATCAGTAAGATGGGGAAGTATCAACTACCTTGGAGGTGGCAGTGAAGATTAGACAGCAGCACCTGGTAAAGAGGGGCTAATGAATCACTGGAAATTTGTTTTTCCAACTCTTAACTGTTAGAAAAAACATAGATCACCTGCCACGCCCTGCAAAGAGACAGAAGGAATTTTGGAGGATTCTCTCAAACCTCTATGTGAAGGTTCCTCTCTAGACTCAAAGTCCTAAGGAGCGAGAACCTGCCAAACTCAGGTTCAGATTACAGCTTGCCCCTGACATCAAGCAGACCTAGCCCAAGAGGGTGACTTGACACAGTGCCAGAGAAAGCAGGGTGTCAAGGGGGACTATAGGAAGGGGAAGACTTGGCTTCCAGAAGCTGAAAGTCAATGAGATCCAGGTGCCTCCATTTCCAGGGTTGAGGGGGTGAGACAGGCCCCCTGGCTGTCTCCCACGCCTGCTGCGATCATGGATAACCTAAGAAAAGCACTTATTTCTTTGGCTAGGCCTTAGGAACATCAAGAAATCATTCCTGCTGAATGCACAACCTGCTGGGTTTCAAGCACCAAATGCTGCCCTCTTCAGGGGTTTCCTGGGCCAGTGGCTTGACAAGGAGCAGATCAGAGCCTCCGGGGCAAAGCCCAGGCCTGTCCCCACCTACCTTGAGTTTCTCCCCATTCTCAGTGTCCCCACCTCCTGGCACTCTCAGCAGCGGTTCTGGAAGTGACAGAGCAGAGTGAGAAAGTGTCTGCTGGCACATAAGGATTCGTTCCACAGGCCACCCAGAAGACGAGGCTGGGCAATAAGCCCATGGGGCTGCCTGGGCCACTTCTGGCCTCCAGCAAGAGGGGGATGCCTGAGGCTCAAGCCAAGCAGGGCCTCAGAAGCCAGAGCTGCATGTAGGACAGGGAAAACTGAAGGGGACACAAAATTCAAGTACTGCATCTCAGAGCTCACGGCAGGCCTATGTCTGCAGAGGTGGGTGCCCCTAGATCAGCAAGCAACCCAGGATGGATCCTGAGACGTGGAGCTGGGAGGGAGCCATTGAAGAAGAACCTGAAACCCTGTCCTCCAAAAGCAAGAGGTGAGGGGAGCTGAACCCTGTGGGGTCAGACAGTAACCTTCTCCAGGGAAAGCCCAAGCAGATACACTATACATAAGGGTGTCATGGGCAATTGTGCAGCCTGCATTTAGCAGGTGCTCATGAGAAATCCCTGCACCCAGCAGCCTGAGAGCAGCTCAGGTGGCAGAGGCCACCGAACACTGGGACTGATGCCACTATGCAGGAAAACCGGGGGAGAACTTAGGAAGGGAAGCAGAATGGGGTGTCCAAGTACCTCTCAGTGGTTGCAGTCGCCGCCTGGCCACCTTCAGGTGTTTGGTCCGGCCCAGGTCCTCCCCTAGAAGGTAATACCAGCCACTGATTTCCTGCCACGAGAGAATGACAGGTTCAGACACAGGAGGCAGAGGGCACAGGTCAGGCAGCCACCAATCCCCCTAAAAAAGTAGCCACTGGACACCCTCCCTCTGGGGATGACAGGCATTCAAGCCTCCTGCCCCTGGGCTGCCATGCCTGCCCCTCCAGGAAGCCTTCCCTGATGCTCTGGGCAGAACTGGCTCTCCCCTCTGCAGAATTTCTGCAACCTCTTATCCCCGGAGGGCAACCATCTACTTGCCTGCCTTCCCCAGTAGACTACACATAGGCTCTTTGATGTGGCTAGCCCTATTGTCTGGTATACAGTAGGAACCCAATAAATGTTTGTTAACACAAGGGAAGGAGTGACAGAGGGATGCAAAAGGCAAAAGTAGTCTTTCCTGAGGCTCCTAAACAGTCTCCACAGAGAATGTCTTTTCCCAACTGAATGAAGCTGAGGCTGCGGCCAAGAGATCGTTGGGACCCACACACAGGATAGAGGGTCCTCAGCCATCCATCCCAGACTTCACTTCCAGGACACAAAACTGGGTGGCAGGGCCTTGCAACAGGCCACAGGACATTCTAGGGATGTGCAAAAGGATCATACCCCTCCCCTGCTCGCCCTTCCCTAGTTTGGGGGGATACAACTCAAGAGTAGAGACAGATAAGGGACTAGTGACCCAGAGAGTGGGGTCCTGGTAGGCACATCAAAAGACCCCTAGAATGAACCACAAGAAGCATCTGATCCTCCTCTTTCAGGGTAAACCCAGGCGTGCTCTGGGCCCCAAAAGGCCTGCCAGTGTCCTTAACAGCAGGCACCAGGCTCAAAACCTCCTGGGAGGATTCGGGGCCGCCTAACAACTGCTTTCTGGCAAGACAACCAGGAAGGGAACCTACACCCTCAGCTAGGGAGGTGATGAGCTCAGTGTTGCTACGTAGGCCGCTGGGTACCCGTCTCGGTGGGGCACCATCTCACAGACAGAAGCTCCGCCCAAGGGCTTCCAGAGAAAGCCGGCCAGTACCAGCCCTGGCCTGGGTGGGCTGGCGCTGCCAGAGGCTTCCCTAGGACCCACCTTGTCTGGAGTCAAGAGGGACTTTACCCCAAAGCTCATGCAGCCGATGAGTCCACTCTGTCTGGGAGAGCAAGAGAGGCTTGAGTCAGCACTGGTTGGGCCATATCGGTTGATTGTCAAGTAGAACATAGGTCGGCCTGATGAGCTGTGGTTTACAAAGCACTTCTACCTGCATCGTCTCTTGATCCTTCCGACTTTGTGACTTTATCTCCATTTACAGAGGAAAAAAATGAAGGCTCTGAGGTGGTTCCTTCCTCAAGGGCACAGGACCCATTATTGTTGGGTCGGGAGGTTGGGGGCTAGAGTGTGGGAACAAAGCCTCCTAGGCCTGGGTGCAGCACTCCACCAGCGCAGAAGCTCAAAACTACTTGGCGGGTTTTAACTGTTCTGGTGCCAGGTAGATCTGAAGAGCCGGTCCCTCAGGGAATCTCAGCTCCCACATCAGTTGGTAATGCTCAGTGGAAGAGAAAAGTTGTGGGATCTCACACTCAGGCTTGGTCTCAGGTCCAGGCGGCAGATCA